ACCTTTAAGCGCTCCTTCATAAACCAATAGGCCTCATCTAAACAAGCACTTCGCACGGCAGATTGGTAAGATACCGCGGCAACGGATCCTTTTTTGCAGATTCGACACAGGGGATTCCACAAAGGGGTACGCTGGTTTCATGCAAAACCGCTCCCAACTTGTCCCGAAGCGAATCAATCTTTGGACTTCCCACGGTTTTCCTCAGGGCAACATGCAAGGAGCCCTCTATTGAATTCCAACCCCATTGCCAGCGGAAAGTGCTCAGAGCTACCCCGCCAAGGTCAGACCCCCAAAAAGAGGCTGAAAGATGCCGTAAGGACCCCCCGAACTCACTTCAGTTTCTGGACCTTCGTAAACTTGGAAGACCACCTGGCGAATCAACCGTCTCGAGTTGTTTTTGTTGTTTTTGTGGGCGAATCCAAGGGAGGAGAAATTGGGGAAAAACGGGTGTCTGCTTTTCGTTGGATGTCGGTTTCTAGGTCCCCCGTGCCCTTTCTGGCCCCGTTTTTGGTTGGGAGGGTTCCCCTACAAAAACGAAACAGAAAAACATCGGGTACCAACTTATTCAAACCTCTCTACTGGAGGACCCAGGTTTCCCTTGTCATCTTGCGGATTGAACGTCCACAACAGGTGCGGCTCAGCGCTGCGGGCGCGCCAGTGAAGGCAGGGAAGCAAACTCCCGGCGGAAGGAGCCTGAAAATGGGTCTTTCTTTTTTGTTTGACCCCCTCTTTAGGGTTGGTTTTAAGAGGAAGAGAGCAGGAAAACCACCTCTCTTTCTGTTCTTTTTTTTGGGGGGGCAGGTCACTAAACAAAGACACACCCCAATTGATGATGCCGTCCGAAAAGGGTAAAGGGACGGAAGGGACTTTGGATTCATGTGACTTGTTTGATTTACGTGCGCTACTCGTCAACATGGACAAGGCGTAAGGCGTAAGGCTGGGCCCTTCAAATAGATCGCTCGACACGATCAGCGCACTGCCATGACCATTTGCCATATCACTACTGCGCAAACTCGAATTGAAATGACGATCGCTTGTCATCCCTGGGGTGCTTTTTTGTTTTACCCGGAAGCCGAAACATCGTTTTTGTTCTGCGCGGATCTTCCCCCTGGGCTTCTGGCCATTCAATTTTTTGCGGAGGTTCCAACGTCAATCCTAGCAATTCTCGGGCGTCACCCAGGTTTGGACGCAAACAGCCTCAAACGACCGCAAACGCCTTGAAATAGGAAGCGCCCGCAAATTGCCGCAAAGCACGTACAACAAAGGGGCAAACGCCCGCGACAGAATCATACACGAAAAATACGCAAAACGCCAAACACGCCTAAAATGCCTTGATAACCAGGACGCCTAGGAATTCCTCGGCATTGGAATCTCCAGGTCCTCTTTTTAGGAAAGGTTTTTGCTGTCGGCCTGTCTGGTGCTTGACTTGCGGGTTTTTTGTTGCACCTGAATGGCCCAGCACTTACAGTGAGGAGACATAGGAAAATTGTAGTTTGAGCTGGTTTGAGCACAAACCAAACGATGACCAGCCTCATCCATCTGATTTGATCCCCATCCAAGTGCCATGCGGCGGTCATTGGACCCCTTTACTTGGTGTTCGTGGGGATGGTCATGAACCCTTCAATGATAATTTAGACCGCGATGATAAGGATTCCCATTCAGGGAACTGCACATATGATCACAGCCATTTGTGATCAGGTTCTAAACGTCAACCTTGAATCAGCGTTTTTACTACAAGCCCGGAAAAATCAAACCAGGCAATAGAACATTTGGGCATGGTTGAGAGAGGGGGTAGACTTAGGATGCCACTTTACATTTTACCAGTGACTCAAAGGGAAGCAAACAATAGAATATACATTCTACAGCCTCAGGCCTCAGTCTAATCATGGTTTCAGGTCGAAAGAAACGCCGACCTGGAGATGGTTCTTTGCGCCAGGCATTCTGGACGCCGAAGCAGCTGGAGCAGCTGTCACAGTGAGCCCGGCTTGGGCTTCGCGGTTTCGTTGAGCCTCATGTACCTTGGTGGCTCCCAGTCATCCGGTTCCTTAGCTTTTTAGCCTTTCGGTGTTTCGTAGTTTCCATTTAACCCACTAAAAGGTATTCCCTTTGAGCGGGGGATCTGAAATCGGGCGGCCCAGTTACGCGGTCAAAATGATGGGACCCATTTGCCAGGTCCATGTTGGCAGACTCTGCCTCTAAGTTGACCGACGCTTCCGGTAGGTGTTTGGTGCACTCCTTGGGCAAGAAGCGTTGCGGCTGGCCCGGGAGCCCGGAAGGCCGAGGGAATCGGGGAGCCTTCGCCAAAGGACCCTTCGCCTGAGAAGCTTTCGCCTCTGTTCGCCTTTTTGTGGGGAACTTTGCAGGAAACCGGGAAAATCTGAGGGATGCCTGGTGCGCCACAAAGGGACCGGGCTCGGGCTGAGCCGAGGACGGACATCCGGGAGCAGCGCTATGGCCTGAGCTGCGGCCTTGAGCGGAAGCGCCGAGGGAATCCGCGAAG